TCCATGCTGAAAGAGAAAGAATTGTCAAATACCTTATGGGCTGAAGCAGTTTATACTGTTGTCTACATACTTAACAGATGTCCAACTAAGGTTGTCCAAGATAAAACTCCAATTGAAGCTTGGAATGGGCAAAAACCATCAGCAAAACATCTAAGGGTTTTTGGATCAATTTACTACATACACATTCCAGAATAGAAGAGACACAAACTAAAAGATAAAACCGTATGAGGTATCTTCTTGGGATATAGTACGCAGTCAAAAGGATATCAAGTCTACAACTTGCAAACCTAGAAGCTCACCATTAGTCGAGATGTTGAAGTTGATGAAAATGCTGCTTGGAATTGGAAAGATGAAAAGGTTCAGAAAAAATTTCCATACCAATGTAGCAACCTCAAGAAATTGAAAAAGTCTCAGGTGAGAATTTTTCACCTCCACTACAACAACATTCCTCACCAGAGTCTACTCCAAGACGAGTTAGATCTTTGGTGGATATATACGAGACCCGTAACCTGGCCATAACTGAACCTGAGAGCTTTGAAGCAGCGTCAAAACAAGAAGTATGAATCAAGACAATGGAGGAAGAGATAAAAATGATTGAGAAAAATAACACATGCGAGCTAGTAAATTGCCCCACAGATAAAGGTATCATTGGGGTAAAATGGGTCTATAAGACCAAGCTTAATCCTGATGGCACAATACAAAAGTACAAAACAAGGATAGTAGCTAAAGGATACTCACAACAAGCTGGAGTTGACTACAACGAGACATTTGCTCCAGTTACACACCTAGATACTATAAGAACTCTAATTGCTCTTGCTGCACAAAAAAGATGGAATATTTACCAACTAGATGTAAAATCTGCCTTTTTCAATGGCATTCTTCAAGAAAAAATTTATGTGGAGCAACCACAAGGCTTCGTCAGCAAAGGTAATGAAGACAAAGTACTAAGACTGAAAAAACCTCTATATGGATTGAAGCAAGCTCCACGAGCATGGTACAGTAAAATCGACCAATACTTTACTGATCAAGGATTCAGGAGGAGCAAAAGTGAGGCAACTTTATACACCAAGATCCAATGTCAGTATGATATACTCATTGTCTCCTTATATGTAGATAATCTTATTTGCACAGGGAACAATGTGGAGATAATAGTTAAGTTCAAAGAAGATATGATGAAGACCTTTGAAATGACTGACCTTGACTTGATGAACTACTTCCTCGAAATAGAGGTAAAACAAAAGAAAAAAGGAATATTTATCTCACAAAAGAAATACGTTGAAGTACTCAAGAAATTCAAGATGGATGGATGTAAGATGGTTAGCACTCCATTGGTGACAAATGAGAAATTGAAGAAAAATGATGGAGCACCAGAAGCTGATGCATCACGCTACAGAAGTTTGATTGGAAGCTTACTATATCTCACAGCCACACGACCAGACATAATGTATGTTGTAAGTCTTCTTTCAAGATTCATGCAAAGTTCAAGCCAAATTCATTTTGGAACAGCAAAAAGAATCCTAAGATATCTACAAGGCACAAAAGAGTATGGTATATGGTACCAAACTATGAGCAACTCAAAGCTACTTGGCTACACCGATAGTGACTGGGCAAGATCGATCGATGACATGAAAAACACATCTGGTTATGCCTTTTCACTAGGATCAGGAACAATCTCATGAGCTTCAAAGAAGCAAGCAACAGTTGCACAATCAGCAGCAGAAGCAGAATATGTAGCAGCTGCTGAGACTACAAGTTAAGCAATATGGTTACGAAGAATACTTGAAGAAATGGGAGAAAAATAAAATGAGCCTACTACAATCTACTACGACAACAAATCAGCTATAGCAATGACAAAAAATTCAGTGCATCATAATAGAACAAAACACATAGCAATCAAATATCACTTTATCAGGGAAGCAGAAGGAACTAAAGAAATCAAGCTCGAGTATTGCACAATTGAAGATCAAGTTGCAGACATTTTTACTAAAGCACTACCAAGACCAAAATTTGAACAGCTACGCACAAAGCTTGGAGTTACAGAAATTTGCATCAAGGAGGAGTATTAGAAATTGATACAAATTTCTAGAATAGTCTAGAAAAATACTAGGAAAAATCTAGGAAAAATTATTTAGATCTTCTATTTTGTAGATACTTCTAGAGAGTGTTCTAGAACATTGTAAATCTTCAAATTTCAAGATACTTCTAGAAGAAAGTTCTAAAATATTGGATCACTCAAACCTAATGGAGGAGGATGCCTATAAATAGGCAAGTCATCCCATTATAAATGATATGAAGAAGAAGTAATCAAATTATCAATTCTCCATTTCTTGAATCTCTTACTAAAACTTCTTCAACTACTATTTTCAACTATTCCTACTAATACATTTCAACTATCTTACTCATTTCACCTACATCAAAATCTAACAGTCTCGTTGTAAATGGCTCGAATTTGGAGATAGAAATACCAAGTACTTCCATAGGACGACTCTAATTTATCGACGAAGAAATCGGGGGGACGACTCTCATTCATCGACAAAGAAATCGGGTGGTCACGTTACAGAATGAGGATGACAATTGGATAAGTGATAAGCAAAAGATAGAAGAGACAGTCACTGCTTTCTACAAGAGGCTTTTTATAGAAACCAATGACTATGTATCATACTGTTTATCTAATTCTCTCCCTAAGTTAAATTCTGCTAGTATTAATCGTCTTGCTCATCCACTTTTAGATACAGAAATATACAATGCTTTAAGAAGAATAAGTTAGACTTGATTTATGTAATATGATTCATGATATTGAAACTACTCCTAACAAGGTTGCTAAGATAAACCAAACTCTTATTACACTCATTCCAAAAATGAAAAATGTTACCTCCTTAAAGCACATGCGACCCATTAGCCTATGCAATGTCTCTTATAAGATTATCACCAAAGTATTAGCAAATCGTCTTTGGCAGGTGATGGAAGGTCTGTATGTCCAAATCAATATAGCTTCGTTCCCTATAGACAAACTATAGATAATATTATATTACACAGGAAGTGATCCACTCTATGAAGCATAAAAAAGGAAAGAAAGGGTGGATGACTATCAAAATTGATTTGGAGAAAGCTTATAAGTGCTTAAATTGGCAGTTCATTAAAGATACTCTGCTAGATATTGAACTTCCTCAGAATTTCGTTGATCTGGTATGGGTATGTATTTTTACTTCTTCATTCTGGGTGCTATGAAATGGCAAGTCTCTTCAGGAATTCTTTCATTCTCGAGGCATTTGTCAAGGTAATCCATTGTCTTCATACTTGTTTGTGCTATGTATAAAGCGCTTATTTCATATTATTGAAATAGCAATAACGCACAAACTCTGGAAACCGATTCAGTTATCAAAGAATGGACCTTCTTTATCTTACTTAATATTTGCAGCTAATTTAATTCTCTTCTCGAAGGCGTCAATGGATCAACACAAATCGTTCAATCCTGTCTAGACTTGTTCTGCAAAAGTTCAAGTCAAAAAGTAAGTCAAGAGAAAACTCGTATCCTTTCCTCAAAAAATGTATGTTGGGCAGTGAAGGAGGAAATTAGCTCTGCGTTGGGCTTTCAAAGGACGAAGAACTTAGGGAAGTATCTCAGAGTTCCTATTCAACATTCTAGAGTTGATAGAAGGATGTTTAATTCGATTGTTGGTAAGGTGAATCAACGCTTGAGCACATGAAAGACAAAAACTCTTTCCTTTGTAGGGAGGCTAACCTTGACCAAATCCGTTCTAGCTGCCATCCCTATTTACACTATGCAATCAGTGTTTTTGCCTCGGAGTTTATGCGATGATATTGATAAGGTTAGTAGATCCTTCATTTAGGGTCATAATACTAACCAATGGCGACTCCATGCATTGGGATGACCTTTATTATGTAAGCTGAAATTGGAGGGAGGACTTGGCTTAAAGGAAACCCATTTAGTTAATAAAAGTCTAAAGATGAAAAACTGCTGGTCTCTATGCACCAAACCGAAAGTACTTCGTACAAAGTATAAGTGTGGATCGTCAGCTTTACCTATGGTTGTGAAGAGACAAAATAACTCAAACTACTGGCGGGGAATTTGTGGCGCTTGGAAGACTATACAACGATGCACTGCTTGGGGTATTGGTGCTGGTACTACGACATTATTTTGGAAGGACAGGTGGTTACCTTCACGTACGAGATTGATAGACGTTGTTGATCAAACTGTTACAGAGAATGAGTAAAATAAACCAGTGGCTGCATTTATTAATGTTGATGGCTTTTGGAGTCTGAATCACGTCAAGAATATGTTTCCTGAATCAGTGTGGCATGAGCTGCTAGCACACACTCCTCTTTCTTTAACGACTAATGAAGACGTTTTGGAGTGGGGCACATCAAATTCTGGTATTTTCACCTTAAAGTCAGCATATTATTCTCTCTTACCAGATAATGATATGATGACTTCTCCTATCTTTAAACTCATTTGGAAGTGGAAAGGATCAGAGAGGATTAGATGCCTCTTATGGAGGGTAACTCACTCCAGCCTTCGCACAAATGAATGACGTGCTAAACAGGGACTCACAAGTAATGCAAGTTGTCCTATGTGCAGTGATCCTTGTGAATCAATTATGCATACACTTCGAGACTGCCACCTATCCTAAACAGTTTGGCGAATCATTGGTGGGAACAAAGTGCAACGTCAGTTTTTTCTATCCCTTTTACAGACGTGGATGCATGAAAACTTGACCCATGCAAACCTACGCTAAAGTCTTCTTTTTGGAGTGGTTCTATATGTAATTTGGCAAGCTAGAAATGCGGTGATTTTCAAACAGGCAAGCTTCCATACCTCTGTGATTGTATGAGAGATCTAAGCTAGGGTGGGTGAGCTAGCAAAATTCATACTTGACAATAAAATATTTAATATAAATCAATGCCCATCGATCTCTATTGGATGGAAATGTCCTTTGGAGGGTACCTTGAAGCTTAATTGTGATGGAGTTGTGTCAAGTATGGCTTCTACAGCTTGTGGTGAAGTGCTACGGGATAGTCTGGGAAACTTTGTGTTTGCCTTGTGTGAAATGTTGGGACGATGCTTTGTGGTTCAAGATGAACTATGTGCTATATTTCATGGACTTCGAATCATAAAAGAGAGAGGAATTTCTGATCCTATTTTAATAGAGTCAGACTTTGCCACTGTAGTTAAATTCCTAAATGAAGGTTGCCCTAGAGAAAACTCATGTTGTTCTTTGGTCAACCATGTAGTTTATATGGCGGGTGATAACGATAGTGTGAAGTGTGTCCATATTTTCAAAGAGGCCAACCAAGTTGCATATCGTTTTGCTAAGCAGGGGCTATCCATTTTAGGTAAAATTTTAGTTTTTAATTCTTCCCCCTCCTTAGGTGCATTTTCTTTTAGGTGTTGATTCTTCTAGTATAATCTACCCTCATGGTTTTTAGTTTTTGGACTTTTTTTTAGTCTCGTTCTTAATAAAAAAAAATATAAAATTTAACAAATATAATTAATTAATTAAATAAATATAAATTTAACAATTAAATGAATTTTATTTTCTACAAATTACTCACCCATCACACGTTATCCATCACTTTTTGTATTTTAATTTGTCTTAAAATAATTTTTAATTTAATAGTTAAATAATGCGCAGCTCTTTTGTTATATTATCTCACCTTCTTCGGGAAATAGGTTTTGTAAATTCTTTATTTTTAGTGTCAACTAAAATCACTAAAAATAAAAAGAATTACTAATCATAAAAATAAATTTTAAAAATAAAAACTAAAAGTTTAATTAATAACCTTTATTTAAAATATAAATATTATATTTAAAATTTACTAAGATAAATACATGTATAATTAAAATTATTTTACTATATTTTAGAAAGAGACAACGTGTGAGGCGGAAAGTAGGTTTTTTGCCTGTGTAGGGTTAAATCAAAGACATTTTATCCGTATGGGGTTGTTTGACAAAAAATTCCCTGTCTAGGGTGATTTGTGAGTGTCGTAAAAAATGTTGGCGACACTTGATCAAGTATCGGCTGAAAGAATGCCGACACAGGGGTCAGACCCGACTACTGAGAGCGGTTACTTTCAAACCGCCCTCATAAATCAATTTTAGAGAGCGGTTGTTATGGAACCGCTCTCTAAAATGGACTTTTGAGAGCGGTTCGAATTGAACCGCTCTCTTAAATGGAATTTTGAGAGCGGTTCAAATCGAACCGCTCTCTAAAATGGACATTTGATTTTTCAAAATGATATAGAGGTATGGTGGGAACTAAAAAGGAAATAATTGATCAAAGTTGTGTGGAAAATTTTTCAAAATCTCCTCTGTCCAGACCAGTATGGAGTATTGGTGATGTATATATGAAACACGCGCAGTTTAATCGGGAACCACTTAATCCAAAATTCAGACTTCTTGAACCAATGAACGTGCCTATCTTGTCTGCTAATCCCACTATCATTTCTCATGCTTTGCAACCAAATGATTCCTTCCTTATATTTGCATCAGATGGTTTATGGGAACACCTAACTAATGAAAAAGCTGTGGATATTGTCAACAGCAATCCACACGCCGTAAGATTCTTTTTCTTTCATATTTGGATTTTCTTGTATTATTTCTACAGTGGATTTTACCTGGTGTTTTTTTTTTTTCTTGTGTGCATGATGGCCATAAAATGCTTGGCTCTTTGGGTGTGTGTGTTTATTTGAGCCCTTTGGTTGCATTAGTATGGTGTAGAACCAAACTATTACTACATGGTTTGCATGCTGGGCGAATTGAACCGGGACTTTTGAGAGCGGTTCGAATTGAACCGCTCTCTAAAATGAACTTCTTAGAGCGGTTCAATTCGAACCGCTCTCAAAAGTCCATTTTAGAGAGCGGTTCCATAACAACCGCTCTCTAAAATTGATTTATGAGAGCGGTTCCTTTTGAACCGCTCTCAGTAGTCGAGTCTGACAGCCTGTGTCGGCATTCTTTCAGCAGATATTTGATCATGTGTCGCCAGCAGTTTTGACGACACTCACAAATCACACTAGACAGGGAATTTTTTGTCAAAGAACCCCATACGGATAAAATGTTTTTGATTAAACCCTATACAGGCAAAATTTCCGCGGAAAGTATAAGGTTTTCAGTATGATTCTTGTGATCACAAATATTTTATATATATTTTGGATCTAAGAGGTTAAAAATGAGACCAGCCAGATGAGACTCTTTGAATTAGCAACATTCCGTCTCATATTTGAACGTTATTTTTGATTTAAAATACTTTAAACGTATTTATTATTTAATTATACATTAATTTTATTACTTTTAATGAAAATATTTTCATTTATACTAAAATAATTAATAAGAGACAGCAGTATCTAAAACGGAAAAAAAAGAGAGAGAAATGGCATTGACAATGAGCGCGCTTCCCTATAGGCAACAAAAGCGGGGGGAAAGGGCCGGCACATGATTCGTTAGTTGGAGTGAGAGTTTGCACACTCAACAATATTTCTCGAAGCGGACCCCACTTTCATTATTTATTTATTTATTTTCTTAAGGCATTTCATTCGCGGATATGAAAATGGAAATGGAAATACTAGTGCAACACGCATTTTCGTCAACCTTAGCGTCCGCGTATCACAACGCAACACCATATGAACCTCTCTCTTCTCTTCCTTCTCCATCGTCACCACCTTTTCCATCGTTAATCAAATCAAAATCCATCTTTCATATCGTTCATCATTATTATTATTATTATCATTCTCCTTCGCTTCAATGGAATCCGACAAAGCAACCTTCGTTGCCCTCGTCCAAGGAATCTGCACCAGACCCTCATGGCCTCTCTTGCTTCTCCTCTTCACTTTCCTCACCCTTCTCTCCCTTCAGCTTCCTTCCAGCTCCGTTTTCCCCGTTTGGTTCCTCTCCGCCTCGTTACCATCGCCACATCCGCCCACCTGCTCCGGTTTCTTCCGCGATGTTCCGCCGAGGAAGGTTGTCATGTCCATCGCGGACTTCGGCGGCGTCGGCGACGGCAAAACTTCCAATACGGCATCGTTTCGGAAGGCGATTCGGTACATGCAGCGTTTCCAGAATCGTGGTGGGTCCCAGCTTAATATCCCCAGTGGAACATGGCTCACCGGTAGTTTTAACCTCACCAGTAATTTCACCCTGTTTCTTCACCGCGGTGCTGTTATTTTGGCCTCTCAGGTCCCCACTTTTTTTTTTTATTTCGTTTATCTATTTTTCTATTTGATTCTGAGCTTGCTTTTTTTTTTTTGCGTATTTAAATGTAATTTAATTATTACATTTCAATGAAAATTGATAAAAACCGGCAGCAACTTGGGTTCCGCATGTGATTTCGGTTTGTGTCTTATTATAAAATTAGAATAAAATAGTGTCTTTTAAAAGTAATTTTTATTTTTCAAGAAAATTGTAGTTTTTCTCGAACTTTTTTAGTAAAAGTGGCGAGAAGATGCTTTTTGACTTCTGTCGCGACAAATGGTACAATTTGCAACCACATGGAACCAACCAAATAATGACCGTTTAATAAATTGGCGATTTTTTGTTTATTCCGTAAACACCTTTTATGTTAATTATATTTCTGGCAATTTGATTTGTTTGTTAAGTGAAAGTTTTGATCCACAGGACCCAAAAGAGTGGCCAATAATTGAACCTTTGCCATCTTATGGAAGAGGGAGAGAGAGATTAGGAGGAAGGCATATTAGCCTTATACATGGAAATGGCCTTAGCAATGTTGTCATTACAGGTAAAACATGTGCCCTTCAATTTCTTTGCTTTAACCACAAATTAACCGAGGAAAATTTCCTTCAATGAGACCTCCAAAGACTATTTCGAGACAATGAAGTGAGGTTGCATATTTAACTACTATTTTAAAATATTCCAATGCAGCGAGTGGTTCCATTTTAAGGGAAAATAACCAAGAAATGATCTATTTCAAGTTTGGAATACTGGTCCCCCCGTTAATTAATCCTTAATCAATTATATGATTCACATGTTGTTCAGAGACATTTTCTCAAATATCGGGTTTTGCAGGACAAAATGGAACAGTTGATGGTCAAGGAAAGATATGGTGGGAACTTTGGTGGAACAGAACGTTGGAGCACACAAGAGGGCATCTCCTTGAACTAATGAACTCGGATAATGTTCTCATTTCAAACCTCACCTTTAGAAATTCTCCATTTTGGACCATCCATCCTGTTTACTGCAGGTTTGATCTTTTTCGCTATTTGTCAATTCTTTAAGTAACATTGGTGCTAAAATATTGTGCACAATTGTATCCTCTCTAATTATATGTTGTATACATGCTGTAATAAAATCAGTTTAACTATGACTTGTCTGTTGTTAGCTTTTGTAACCACAAAATACTTGAGATGTTATAAACAGCTGTGTTTTGTTTCAGTAATGTTCTGATCAAAGGGATGACAATCTTGGCTCCTCTTAATGCGCCAAATACTGATGGCATAGACCCAGGTTTGTTTTACTCCTTTGTTACTATTTTTCCTCTTATCTTTCATATGTTATATTGCATGGCATTATAGTCTCTTACTAGTGAATTTCTTTTCTGATGATATAGACTCAAGTACCAATGTATGTATTGAAGATAACTACATAGAAAGTGGGGATGATCTTGTAGCCATAAAGAGTGGTTGGGATCAATACGGAATCACCATGGCCCGTCCTAGCACAAATATCATAGTGAGGAGAGTATCAGGCACTACACCAACATGTTCTGGAGTTGGAATAGGTAGTGAGATGTCTGGTGGAATTTCAAATATAAAAATTGAGAATCTGCATGTCTGGGATTCTGCAGCTGGTGTTCGCATAAAATCTGATAAAGGCAGAGGAGGATACATAACCAATGTTAGTATAAGTGATATAAGAATGGAGAGAGTGAAGATACCCATTAGGTTCAGTAGAGGTTCAAACGACCATCCTGATGATGGGTGGGATCCACAAGCTGTTCCTAGATTCAAAGATATTTTATTCAGTAATGTGGTCAGTGTAAATTCAACAAAAGCCCCAGTTTTGGAAGGTATAGAGGGTTCATCATTTGAAGGCTTATGCTTCAAAAATATTACTCTACTTGGTGTGGCCTTATCTCCAACATGGCATTGCGAATATGTCTCTGGTTTTGCCACTGAGGTGTTGCCGGTTCCATGTCATGAATTGCAGAACAATACCGATTCATCCTGGTGTTCACGTTGATTAACTGTGCCCAACCATGGATAGTTCAAAGATCCAACAATGGAAAAAGTAGGTTTTTGCTCACATTATGATTTGATTAAGCAGTTTTTGGTCTTGCTTAAGCTGATAATTTTTGTGAGGCACAAAATTATGAGAGAGACTGAATTGGGCTCGTGAAGCCTGAATCATTATGACATTTTCCTGCTTAGGGTGACACGATCGGTTTCAGGTTTGTGATTGGAATGTGCAGAGTAGCATTTGATTGATATTTTGCCCCCTCTTGCCATGTTTGATGGCAAAAGAACGTGGAGTTGCACCTTGGTTTGCTTAGCGGTATAACCAATGATTCCTGTGTTTTACTTTACAGGATGATTTCTTTAGAAGTATTTGTTACTGTTGTATAGGTAGTTAATTCATCGAGAGAGAACCCAAAGTTGAATAGAGTGAACTCAATAATGTAGAAAACAATTTTGAATCAGAACAATTCTTTTTCTTTTTCCTAATAGAATAGTTCATGCCAAAACCATTAGTTTAGTATAGCCTAGGTTTCATAATTGTGATTAGCATCGACATTACACTGAACTGGCACTATTGCATGATGGTGCAAGGGATAGATAATGGTGTTTCACCTTGTATAGGATAAGATAGTACAAGGGAGCAGAATGAAGTCAGGATTCTTTTGTGTTTGATTCATCATTTATATGTGTACAAATATTTTTTTTGTATAGATAAATAGTTACATGGATTAGAAGGAGAAATTTCGCTGAAGACAGTGCTATTGTAAGGAGGAAAAGAAAAAAGAAAATATAATTTTACAGCAACTTTGTATATATTTTATAAATAAGAAATTAGAAAAAGAAGGAAAGATTAGTATAAAATATATATGATAGAAAAATAAAAAATATAAAACCTTGTTCTAAAAATTATATTTTCACGTGAAACAATATTGTTTTATGTAAAATTCTCACAATATTTTTTTACATCATATGTTTTATTATACACTTCACTCCTCTTTTCTTCTTATCTTTCATTGTTGTAGACTCGGTTATGATAGTAATATGGGAAAGTAGCATTAATCGGACAAAAATGCCATTGCCAATCGCTAGCAGTAGGGTGTCGCGGCTGAGTGAGGTTGCGTTTTTTGTTTCTTCACATTGTATATTTTACGAACAAGGACTTTTAAAATAAAGTAATTTCTTTTGAATAAAAAAAATTAAAAATATTCTATGAGTATATTTTTTTTAAATTTAATAATTTTTAAAAAATATTATTGTTATTAAATATTGTATTATATTAAATCAGATTAAATTAAAAAATAAAAAAAATTATAAAAGAAAGAAATATTTTCTTTTTTTAAATATTTAACAATTAAGACTCATAAATTATATATAAAGATAAATGTTCGAGTTGAGCTATCTTCACAAAGATACGAGCATGAGAGTATTTTGTTTGGTTTTTAAATTAGTGACAGTCACGTCGATGCTTTGATGCCAACCGAAGAAAAGAGGCTTGAATGGCAAAACTATATCTATATAACCTATACTGTGCACTTTTACTTGACTTCAAAGTAGTTAAACAGATATGGGATTACAGGTTGCGAATATTTATAAAGTATTATTTAGAAACAAAAATAAGTGGCAAATCTCATTTCTAGACGCAAGATTTAATTGAAGGCTAATCACTTTATGCCAAATTAGTTATTTGGGGTGTTTTATTTGAAACAAAAGGAAACTATGACAGAGTTTATTAGAATATAGTATTTTAAATGTGAATATTGCATGATGAGAAATTATATGTTAATAGTTTTTCGTACAGCGTAATACAATAAAATAAAACAACCAAATTATAACAAAATAATTATAGTTTTCTGCTATGATTAATTATTTTAAATGGCGTACGAACCGTGCATACCAAGCATTTGCTCTCCAAACGTTGTTCGCTACAAGACAAGTCCAAGCTAAATAGAAACATGACCTAAAAATTGACAGGCTAGTTAGTAGTTAATTATTTGAATTCTCCATTCAAAACTAAATAAATAAATTCAAACTCAAAACACACCTCATACCAAAACAGTCAACACAACGAGTTCTAGCCGACCCAATGCATTGGATAATGTACGTTTCTTTCAAGCAATGCATCACACACTGGCAAAGCCAGCAGTGAACTCCAAGAATGTCGTAACTTGTATTTCTTGCAACCCCGAAGAACTCATTAGCATAGATAATTCCTCTATCACCACCTTACTTATAATATATACATGTTCATATATATTATATAATGCAGAATAAGTCCAAGCAATATTGAGATTCAAGTGAAGATGAAGATTAAATTCCATTCTTCCTTATTCTTCATGTTCTTGATAGCCTTTACAAGCATAAAAGTAAGCTTAGCAGATTGTGATAATCTACAAGACACTTGCCCCACAGCTTCACCCGATAAACATGCCATATTCATCAATGGACTCCCTTGTGAAAACCCACTTAACAAAAGTGCCCATGATTTTAAGAGCATGGAATTAAGCAACGGTGGTACTAGAGACGCTTTTGGTTCATCAATGAAAATAGTTACTGCTTCCAAATTTACTGGTCTTAACACTCTTGGCATCTCAGTTGGTAGAATTGATATTGAAGTGGATGGACTCGTGAATCTCCACAATCACCCAAGAGCCACTGAGATGATCTTTGTTAGGGAAGGAGTGTTGGAAGCTGCTTTTCTTGACACCCAAAACCAGCTCTTCCAAAAGGCTCTCAAGGCTGGTGATGTGTTTGTGATCCCCAAGGGCTTGTTCCATTTCTTCCTAAATCGTGGCGTGCAAGTTGCAACTTTGTTCTCTGTGTTCAACAGCCAGAACCCTGGCCTCGGATCCCTCACTTCCTTTCCTTCTACAGTGGAATCAACTGAGAAACTGAAGAGGAAACTCATCTCCCTTTATGACTCTCAAGTTGATGGTGTTAATGACTTGACTTCGGCAGTGTTAGATATCATGTATAGTTAACCATTAATCATGATTCATGCTTTCTATTTGTTGCATGGTGTTGCTATTTATATTACAATTATATTTGATAAACACTCGAACACTATCAACAGACATCTAACACTTCTCTTTTTATCACTTTCTTCTTGTTACATCATATTATTTATTATATTTATTACTTTTCTCTCCAGTTTCTTCTCTTTCCAAGTATAAACACCTACATATATAAAAATCTACGTAACATTTTCCTTTATATTAATTAGCTATGTGGGTAATGCGATATCACAATTGTATTCCACTTTATACTTTTATTAGTTATGAAAATATAAGGCCTTTTCTGTAGGCCGCTAGACCCCTGCTTCAATTTTATAGGATCGGTATTACTGTACCAGAATTTTAATCAAACTTAATTGTCAATAAATTTTTTTAAAAATTTATACTTTTTACATTTATAAATTTTATTAATTATTAAATATTTTTAATATTTTAAAGATAATAAATATATTTTTGAATTTAATTTTTATTTTATAAAATAATAACAAATTATTAAGAAGATATTAATAAAGATAGCAAAATTCAAGCAATAAACACACGTAGTTATGCATAAGACGAGGGGGGAACAGTGAAATTGAAATGTGAAAGGATTCTTTACAAAACTAATTCAGCAGCCTCTTTTAAGCTCATCCAGGAACCCAAGTTATAAATTATAATAAAGAATCTAAAAGCTGTAATAGACGTTGTCTGTTTTCAGTGATGATGTTTTTAATGCCAATGAATTTTTTCTTTGTGGTTTTTGCAACCTTTACATATTTTCCTTATTCAACATCAATATTGGTTTCAATCATGATTTCTACAATTAACAAAAGAATTGAGCTCAAACTTCTCTTTATTTATAGATTACAACTTCATTGAAACTAAGATGTCAAGAATTCGTCTATGTTCGTTCCTGAGATATAGTAAATCACTACCTCTATAAGTAATAACGTCCTGAACCATGAAATTAACTTGAAAATCATTCGCATTCTCCGTTCTAAAAATAAGGGGATCGGAACATCGGAAAATTCTAAAAATGGACTAAAATGATGAAATGCAAGAGAATATCCTTCAAATTTTGAAAAATAGAAGATGAATTGAATTCCACTTTGCATTTGATTACGCGTTGTTTTGCCGTCCAATTTTATATTTTAGCTATATATGAATAAATAGCATTTTTTTTCCTAAGCTGCTTGTTCACTCTGATATTTCTGCTTAGCTCATTTGTGTAATTTAGGGTTTATGTCCAGATGTTCTAAACATTCAGTTTTATAATAAATATTTAGTCAACCATCAAAGTCGTTGTAGTATAGTGGTGAGTATTTCCGCCTGTCACGCGGACGACCCGGGTTCGATCCCCGGCAACGGCGTTTTATTTTTGTTACTTCTTTTTGGAAAAATAAAAATACATTTTTGATAAAATATTAAAGATCTTTGATACAATATCAATAGTTTATTTACTTATGTAAATATTTTTTAAAGAGAAGTCGCATCAAATCCTCAGATGGCGACCAAGCTATTTCTGCAGACAATAATTTAGACTTTGGTTATACAATTAATGTAAATTATAACACCTCCGGTACGTCATTATTTGATATAAAATATCTTAATTAATTTTTTCCTTTACTAATTCTTGATAGTTTTAAAATATAAATAATATACTGAAACAACTTTCAGTGCATATGTAGCAACCAAAAAAAGTATTACCTATTTTAAAAAGCGAAAGTTTTGGAATGTTTGGTTAATGCATCGTTGATTAAATTATATTTTATGATTTATTTTTTCAACTGGACCTTTTAAAATAAACATTTTACCTGGCGACATAAACTTCCTTAATTTTATTTTCAGTTATCATGATGGTAACCTAGTGTTACGTTACTACTATAAGCAGTATGAATGTATTAAAAACTCCGTCACAAGTCATAACTGAGTTGCATACTAATACTTTAACTACTGATAGTTCAAATTTTTTATTTGATTAATACTGATGCCTTTTTTTTTTTATTATTATAATAACACAATGCGTATGTCGTAAAATGTATTACATTAAATCATATAGGTATGCACTGTATACCTAGCTAATTAATTAGTGGTAACAACAACTTGAAATAATGAATAATTAATTACAAATATATAATTTTAGAAAACCTTGCGATAACTTGTGTATCCCTTGATTCATTTTAGATAAAAAAATTAAAAGCTAAACTCAACCAAAATAAATAAAAATTAAAGTATCTTACGTTACAGTTAGGTGTTAACCCGAGAAAGCCTAGTGCATAGAAAAGTGTGTTAGATGCTCTTAAAAAGAAGTTGACGTTATGGAAGCATAGGTATTTATCGATTGGAGGCAGAGTAACTTTGATTAATGTCGTTTTTAATTTTATGTCATTGCACTCGTTATCTTTTTTTAAAGCGCCGAAGTCAGTAATAAAAGAGATTGTCACTATCCAGCAAATTTTTTTATAGAAAGATGTTAATGATGGATCTAAAATTCCTTAGTTGAAATGGAAAACAGTTTGTAGACTGCGGAAGAATGGTGGCTTGGACATTAGGAATGTGCAGTGGTTTAACTGGGCGCTTCTCGATAAATAGTTGTGACGAGGTGTTAATTATTTTAGTTCATTATGGGTGCGAATGTTGGAAGTTAGGTATGACAAATTAGCTTCTTCTATTCAACATCCATCAGTCTACAATAGATATTCTTGATGGTGGCGTGATTTGCTGGAGGTTATTTATCAAGAAAATTTATGACTGGATGAGAAGTTGGATAGGAGCGTGAGTGAAGGTTTGCACAATCTTTTTTGGAGAGTAAGTGAGTAGGCGTGGTGCGATTGTGTAAGACATTTCTGCGATTGTTTACGGTGGCGAGAAATGTTGAATCTTGTGTATTGAAAAATGGTTTTCATGATAGCACTAGGTGAGTTTGGGATGTTAGTTGGCGAAGAGGACCCTTTCAATATGAGATCTCAAGTTTTAATCTTTTATTGAAGCTTGTGGATGAAATTTCTATTAAGGTATTACAAGAAGAAAAATGGGTATGGAGGGCAAATTTTTCAGGTTGTTATTCAGTGCAATATGAGTATTCATGACTATTTAAACTTTTTGGTGATTCTAATAGTGTAGATCAGTGTACGACTAACATCTTGCAAAGACTATGAAGAGAGAAGGTCCCTCTTAAACGTCTGGTATTTTCTTGGCAATTGTTGTTGAATGCACTTCCCTGTAAAGGTTTACTGATTGATCATGGTGTTCAAATTGATGATATAACTTGTTGTTTCTGTCATGATTTTGAGGAACTTTCAACTCATTTGTTTTTAACATACTCAATTTCATCTCAAATCTGGCACTTTACTGCGCATTGGCTTGGATTCTCACTGATTTTGTCTTTAAATTTATCGATTCACTTGCTTTTTTAGGTTGATGTTGGTTGTAGTAAAAGAAAAGGGATATGTTTATTAATTGTTTGGATAAGTGCATTGTGATCTTTGTAGTTACATAGAAATATAATTATGTTTTCTAATGATATTTTGAATGAGACAAAAGTTCTAAATTCTATTATTCTGAAGTTCTAGAAATAGCGTAAAGAAGAAGCTATTTTGTTAGCTGATTGGTATCGAAACATACAAAATTATATTCGTCTTAGTTTTGTATAAGTATATTTTTGCTTTCTTCTCTGTGTATATAGGTTTTGAGTTTTTTTTGAATTTTCTCTAATAATATATATATTGCCTATAAAAAAAAAACAAAAATATCAATCTAGCCAATTTTATTCCTAGAACACCCCCAACAAATATCATAATAGAGGCAACGGTGATAATAGAAAAATTATAAGTTTTAGATCAGTGAGTCCCCCAAGATCAGCAACATAAACTTGAGAAAATCTTAAATATTATAAATATGTACATATACATTTGATTAGACTTACCTGAACGTAAAATATTGACATGGGAAACAGAAATCCTAGGACACACTGCAATAAGAAAAGCATGTTCTTCAAAGGGCATTGATGGGATAATTATTAGAACAAAGAAAAGGCAAAAAAAGATTGTGATCCTTCCATAAGAAAACATTGAAAACAGCAGCAAAGTGAACTGTAAATTCTGACATAGAACCTATAATACGTATGTTGCAATTTTCTCCTAGAAATGACACTATTTATATATGTGTGTGTAAAAAGCGCGTCATGGTCCACTAATATTGTCATCATGGGCAGAAGAACTTCCAACTCCAAGAAAGTCTATGAACGAAACACCCTTTTGTTTGAGATTAAGAGGTTCTTTCTCATTACTAATCATGGTACTCGATTTGCACAGTGCGTTATCACGTGGAGTTTTACCTGTGATGCTGCTTTTGATCGAGTCCACATAAGTTCTGTGGCCATAATTATTGTAGTTTGAAAATTTACGTGGAAGGGGAACAACCTTGCCAATACTGGGAAGTCCTGGTGCAGTGAAGCTATGGTAACTGCCAAGAATAGAAGAACCAACAGCTTCGAAATCATATGATGATGATGATTTTTCTGCAGCACTTGAAGAAACACTTGAGTCTTTGTGAGCCTTGTTAACTACACAAGAAGCATCAAAACTTGATGTGATGGTCGAAGAGCCACTAAATAGAGTCCAAGGAGTAGATGGTGTCTGTGAAGAAGACACACCGAAGATTCCTTTGTTTTTGTAGTTTTGCAAGTTAAAATTCATCCTTGAATTATGACCAATGGTGTCACCAAAGAGTGTTAAGCGCTCTCTCCTCCTTCTGGCTGTCAATACATGGAAGTGATTCTTGACAGCATTGTCAGTTCTTCCAGGGAAGAATCTGGCTATTGCAGCCCATTTGTTTCCCTTCACTTTGTGAAGTGCTAGAAGCGTTTCTTCATCCTCATCAGTGAATGGCTTTTTAATAATATTTGGGTCTAGCTGATTGTACCACCTCAATCTGCAACTTTTCCCTATATATTCAAAAAAATAATGAACAATTTCACCCACAAGAAACAATACATTTCTTACAAAACAGGTTCAGATTTATGCACAATGCTAAAAATTATAAAATAAGTTTACGTACCTGATCTTCCTTCAAGATGTTCAGAAATAAAGTTCCAGTTCTGAGGACCATATTGCTTCACAAGTTGCTTAAGTCTTTCATCTTCAGCGGGTCTCCAATGTCCTCTATTGCAACTTTTTTTACTCTCAGTGCTGGTGCTTCTGCTGCTTCTAGCTCTTCCCATCTTATAAAGAATGGCCAACTCAGATGGAGGACAATAAGTAAGAGAAGAGAATAGTGCTCAAGAGGGGTATAAACTATAAAAAAAAAGTGCTTAATTCTTATTGGGTTATATAGATAGATGAAAAGTCCCTTTAGCTGTGCCTACAAGATTTGATAAAGCCATTCTCACACAGGAGTATATTAATATATTTAGTATCTTCCTATACAACCTCAGCCTGTGACTCTATTTGCAAGTTTCCCCCTTAAATTCCTCTCCTCTATGATCTACAAAAGGACTTATATATGCCTTATTGTATATGACGGGAAAATTAAAATCCCACTTCAGCAAGTGTACCTAATTTATATGATTGTTCAAGTTTGGAAGTATTTTTGTTTCATGCAGTTTATTAGGGCTACAAAAGTGGAAGTTCATTAATGTCTGTTTAGAGTGAGTAGGTAACTGCATGCTAGCAAAAAGACAAATTAACTTTATAATAGGTTATGCTTATGTAAATGGGATTTTTTTATAAAGCATTTAGAAAGCGTATAAACTGTAGCTCGCCACTATGCAGACTTGGGAAGAAACAACTTTCATTTTACTAACCTTCCATAATTGAATGTGGTGTAGGACTCTCATGTGCTTTTTGGACCATCTAAAATATGATAATAACAAGAAATCCTAAAATTAAGCCAGCAAAGTCAATTCAAATGCCGTGAATTAGCATTATTCTAGGTTGATCTAAACAAGTGATCGTCCTCAATATTCACCCAAAGCTGTTATATACATTCACTCTTCCTATTATTTTCACTACTGTGATCTCATCCCCAGGTAGAATTTAAATACAAGTTAGTCATACAGTGTATGATTAAGTTCAAATTTAAGAACCGGTGGAAGGAGGAGACTCGTGCCTTATGTAATAAATTATTAAAGGTTTAAATGTGTTTCTAATTCTAGTATATATAATTAAATTTAGTTTTAGTTTTTCAAAAGTTATTATGTTAATTTTGGTCTTTATAAATTTTAAAATATTTGAAATTAATCTTTGTTAATATTTTATGATAACATGATCTAATCATACTATGTCATTAAGTATTATGAGATGGCATGTGACATGGCATGTCTAAATGTATCTTAAGTCATTAGTAACTGATAATAGACTAATTTTAAAAGTTTTAAATTTTATAAATTTTAATTCTTAGGTTGAGTTTAAATAACTAACTATAATAAAATTTTATTTTAAAAAATTTTATTATATTAGAAATAAAAAATTACAATAAATATAATTTTATTTTTTTATAAAATTTTACTATTATTATTTATTTTAACTCAACAATAAGAATTAAGCTTAATAAAATTGTAAAATTTACATAGAAAATTAATATTTTTTTAGAATTAAAACTAAATTAATCATATTTACTTAACTAAAAATATATTTTATTCATAATTTAAAAGTTAACTTGACAAATTTGTCTTCACCATACTATTCTTTACAAGTAAATTATTACTTTAATCCGTAACTTTATAAAATGTAATTTTATTTTATTTTTTAGGATGCTTTTTATTAACATTAGACATGAAAATGAACGATATTTTGTAAAATTAGAAATTAATCAAAATTAAATATATATATATTTAAAAATTAATTATTATCCATAATCATATGGATTAAAAGTAGGATTTACCTGTTTTTATTCGTAAATACTTATGTGTCCAAGTTCAAACACAAGTTTTTGACTTCTAGAACATCTACGTACGTTATTATACGTATGCTCGGTAATTTCGTGGTTCTTCACTCCCGTGTTGCAGGCATCTGGTAAAAAGATTCTGGTTATAGTGTTTTCTTAACTGATTGAGATTCTATGCCCCACGATATCAAATCCTTGCTCTTCCAATTATAAACTCATCAATTGTAGTGACATAACCCACTCCTTTTTCCAATTTCCATTAATAACATGATCACCCAGTGACCATTGTCATACATATATTTAAAGATGAAGGTTAGAAACACATTATCTAGCATATTATTTTAACACATTTTTAGTTATTAGTTAAATTTATTAAAAACTACAAATTTATAAGAGATAATATTAAATTAAGAATAAAAATTATGAATTTAAGAGTGTGACTACTCACATACACATTTTAATTAATAATTAGAAAAGTTTTATAAAAAGTATGCTAGAGATTTTCTTATATTTATATAGTTAATACTAGGCTGGCCTAGAGTGATTTGTTGGTGATTAGTGCTCGCTTTTGGGCTACAAATCGGATTTGTTTCTTTATATTTGAAACAAATTAAGTTATATTGCATCCGCGTATTACGTGGAAAATTGGCTGTCCTTGTCATGAATTGATTTTGATTAAGAAAACAAAGCTTTGAGAATGTGGGCCACACCAATTACTGAGGTTGAAATTCTTTTTGTCTGCTCAATGTTTTCAACTTAATCTGCATTTGAAAATGTAAAATGCCATGAAAGTAGTTAAGAGTTCATGTAAATGTACTGACATAAGTAAATTTGGCATATCAAATGACTTTCCCTTGTAAATGATTTTATAAATAACATTCAATAGCCAAAGAAACAATTTTACATGATAAATGAGAGGTTACAGTTGGGTCTGACCCGCTTCGGCAATTTCCATTTGTGTAATTAATTCCTCAGGTCAAAATTTTCAAAAGGTAATCGGTTTCCTTTTCAGATTCTTTAAGTACGTAGCATCATATTTTGCTTCCATGATCAAGAAAACACTGTGAGTGCTGCCAAAGGTATATCAAGGATTGTTCCTTTTCTCAATGTAAATGCAACCATCTTACTGTGACATGGAATAAATTTCTCATAATTAAGATTTAACGTGGAGATTTCTTTTTTCTAAGTTTTTTTCTGTAATTGAGAGATAAAAAAGGAAAGATAAAGAAGTGTTAAAAAGAGGTAATGAGATAAGAAATAAAGACAGAGAAAAATGAGTTATAAAATATTATATTATAAAAATACAATAAGTGGATGTTTAGAATAGATTTTTTTTCTACAAAATTTTAAAAATTGATATCTTTTACAATAATTTAAAAAATATCTATAAATTAACTCAATATTTTCCTCTAAATGGTTGTTAGAATGACTATGCATTGTCAAGGTGCTTTTGAATTGAACATCTTAACGTATACATAGTACTTGAGCAACAAAAAATGTATACTTAGTTGTATGTCAAAAAGGAAAGAAAAAAAAATGCATACTTTGTCACAATTAGGCTTACCATTTTGAAGAATAGTTTTGACTTTGAAGTATGCCTAAGCAAATTAAAGAGGTAGAAAGAAACACGCCATCAGCTGAAAAATCCCCATTCAGAAGACAAATGGAAAAGTCATTTGTGTTCCCTCTCCCATACATTTTTATAGTTGGCTTAGTTTAGCTTAAAAATATTTGTTTGTTTTTTTTTTTTATGGAAATAGGAAAAAAAAAAAGAAATGGAGTATATAAATATGGAATAACATATTGTGGTAAAGGCCCTTTTGATCTTGAGATATATACATTGGTACGTAGAGGTTTGATGCACTCTTCTTGTATTATAGGTTGACTACCGAAAATACTTAATTCATTTCTAATAAACCATGCTTGCTTATTAAAAATAAAAATAAAAATGGATAAAGCTTGAAGACTATCATCATCTGTATGCAAAGAAATAAAGAAGAGAAATTCTTTTGTGTGTGAGTTCCACTGTTAAAAACTTATATCCATGATAGTCAATACTTTGCATGGAAAATAGTGAGAAAAACAGAAGAAAAGTAATTATCATTTTACTTTCAATTAAATATAAAACAAATTTATTAGAAGGATAAACATGTCTTGATATATTATTGTTCTATTTTTTTTTTCTAGTAACTCTTTCACTCATTTACACAAGTAAAGAGACTTTTTTTATCTTTTATATTTATATCCATATAAATACTATATTTTCTTTTTCTTTCTGTATTATTTTCTTCCTTCTTTTTTATGATAAACAGTTTTCCTAAAATAGTGAATATGTTTTTCTTATCTTGAATTTATTTTTTATTAATTTTTTTTATTTTATAATTAAGTATTCCGATTTTAATTATTATAATGAAAGTTTTTCATTATTGTGTTTTTTAACATGTGTTTACAAACACATAATAAAAAATTAAATATAATAAAATTTTATTAGTAATCACAAAATCTAATGCTTTGATAACATTAAATGTTATATTTTTCAATAAAAAATTTAGAAATTACAATATTTCTGTTAATTTTCAGGAGAACAATTATTTATAAGCCAGGAGCACCATCACAAGCTTCAAACATTCAATACTAGTAAGCATTAAATTCACCAAAACTGAGTGAAGCGATACTATACAAAATTGAAAACATACAAAAATACCTTTCATGAAATTGTAATTTATTATCAAAAAATAAAAATAGATTAAAATATTTATATTTTTACTATCAATCCACCTATTAAATGATTATATATAAATATTCCTTCTATAATTCAATAACTTCCATCCATTACGTAGTGTTTTTTTTCTCTGTCATCCACGGATTTATTACATTAAAAGAATATTATTCTGGGATTTATTTATTTATGGGAGACCTTGCTCCACAACAATGTGGATATTCTAAACTTGAGCAAGTTTACCTCTTCAAAAAGATATTTGTAATTTAGATAAAAATACTAATAGTCTAGAGAAAATATTTTTGGTTTTTAAATTCTTGTACAGCCTATTTGGTTAAAATAGTTGATAAGTTAGTTAAAATAGTTGATAAGTTAGTTAAAAATTAAAAAGTTAGTAAAAAAGAAGCAAGAGAAATACTTTTTTAACTGAGCTATGAATTAAAAGCTTAAAGGTATTAAGTTAGTTAATCCAATTAGAAATTTTTATAAAATTAGTTGTCAAAGTAAAATGACATAAAATTAGTTGTCATAGAGAATGATTGAAAGAAGGTTGTTGATGATTCGAATAGCAATTTTTGTCATAGGTCTAAGTTAGAGAATAATTTATGTACTAGATAAGATACTTCGATTGTCATCATCGAAAAAGGAAACTAAATACTCATTTGACCTGACACTAGGACGAAGCATATCCATACTCTTTCGGCTACTTCTCTAATCATATTAAAATAAATTAATAAGATAATTAAGGATTAATAATCAATAATTAATAAGAAAAAAAGTTAATTACCTAAGTAATCAGAAGGTTAAGACAAAGCTGAATCATGAAACTCGTTAGTCTAATATCTTATTTATAAAAGGAAAGTAAGAAGTATAGATAAACAGGACTTCAAAAAATTTAATAACATTTATCATCTTGTACTGAAAGCTAACTTTACTATCAGTGTCTTTGGAGGTATTCCTTTTCACCTCACAGCAGAAGAGAATTTAAAATATTTCGCAAAGACATCATATCGAAGGACAACGAGAAAAACTACAAAAAATGAGTATATCCTTAACAGGAACAATTTATATAGATATTAATTTGTTTAAATGCTGTTTTGATTAATATAATTACTTACGTTCTTAGAAAGGGCAACAACGCTATCCATAGGGTGGCTAAATGGGCAAAACATAGTTTTGAAGGTTGCTAAATATCCATAGTTGATGTAATCCAATTGGATTTTGTTTTGGTCAGTGTTATGCTAAGTTTTTCTTGTAAAAAAATATAAACAGGGTGATAATTAAAATAAATAGTATAACATAAAAAAGAAATCTGCACTAAAATAAACTATAACTTTCAAATTCCTTTTATGCTTTTTATTATCATAAAAAAAAAAAATCGTCCCTGAATTAGTATACTTTATGGCATGAGAATTAATTGGTAAACAATTGTGTATACTTAAAAAGAGAAGTTCGTCACTCATAATTATCTTATCGATCTTATCGGACTCAAATAAAATTGCCTCCTATAAAAAAAATACTTTGGTTTAAGTCAAAAGATTAATCCACTGAACATGAGAAAGAGTGTGAACTTGCGTACAAAAATCAATATTAAATATTAAACTTCAGATTAGCAAACAGTGTGGGACTATAAAATGGGCAAAATAATATTTGTTCGAAGGCTTGATCATAATCACTATTACTAGGACACAAAGGCAGAAAGGAACCAGCACATTGAGGCAGGCCATTTTAATGCCAGCCACATTCTATCCTATATTTTTATACAGAGTAAAATAAAATTCGGTTGGTAAGTCATTAAATTGGACGTCATTTTCATTTTGTTTAGTAATATTTGACCAACAAAACATACTAATTCTATTTGCGTAGTGAGTTATGATTTTCGTGGGAGAAAGTGACAGCTGAGCGGCTACCCTGCTTTCATTGTCTCCTACGGGCTAAGGGGTAAACTTCCAAGCCCCTTATGATGCCTTACAACATATGATCACCATCTTTTCTTCCTCAACATACCAAAGCAAGATCTTGAAGAAATAAGTTAATAAATCTTGCTCAATAATATACAGTTTTTTGAAAAAGATTTTAAATATTTTATTTCATATTTTCTTCTCTTCCTAGTACTTCTGTAGAAGTTTATCTAATGAGTTTTATTTAAAATTATAAAACATCACATCTAATGCATCAATATCACTACATATTATAATTTTTTAATAAAAACTATTTATTAATTTCTTATTCTGTATCTTACACAACCCAACCCCCCCGAAAAAAATGTAGTAAAGATACCGAGAACTATACTCTTCCAAAACCTTGCTTTTTATCTATCAACTGTACCTGCAAGATTAAATCCATTACAATTCAATGACAAAATATAGTCAAATGTTGTACTAATAGACATTAGACATCAATCACGAACCAGGGAAGAAACTAACTGGTAAATAAAAGATCAAATTATTTCTATCAGGATCAAACCCAGAAGTGGCACACAACTAGCTCCAGCTTGTTAAGCCCAACTTATCAGCAAGATTGTACATAACCAATTGATCCCAAACAGGGCCGAAGAGACGTTCCCCTCCAATGGCAAATGTCAGAGCCCACGAAGAGAGAAGTGCCGTGAATACAATAAACCCAACGGCCGATCCAACAACATCTGCACAGGATGTCAGACAAATTAAGGCTCATTTGTTTCGAAGTTACAAAATCAATTATTATACTTCTAAACTAAAAACACATTCTAATACAAATATGTGATTCACATTAATTTAAACACACATCTAAATCACATTTAACGGTTTAAAGTCTAATTCTACTCAACTTTAAACTAAATGAACACTAAATCAACTGAAAAAATGAAGGTGGCTGTAAAGTAGTGAAGAAATTCGGCATATTTTAACAACTGAATTACTTGAACAAGTTAGTAGATTCAAAAATTAATTCAACTATAACGACCAAAATTCAGAGCACCCTCCAACATGAAACTATGCAGCTTTCTCAATCATTTAATCTAATTGAAACCAACTATTATGTTAAGCACCAACTCCCAATACTAAATACATTAGTTCAATCCTCTGCCCCATTTTATTTTGGGCGAATAGTTAGTAACACCAGAAATAAAAAACAGAAACCCTTGAAGCAAATAATACACAATAAACGGCAATGAAAGAAGAAGAGAAGGGAGGAATAATACAAAACCCCTAAACACACGGCTCTTCCCTCTGCAATGAGAATTCAACAGCCATCTTACACAACAAAATTCAGCCATGCTTATAACAAGATGCAAGATTTATTTATCAATTCAACTTAAAAATCTGCAAAGATGCAAAATGAAATTTCAACATGCAAGTTTTCAGTATAACATTCTCCTCATCGTCCACAATGATTTGTTACACGCTTGAAATAAACCCTACATTTCTGCAGAAAGATACCTAACCATTTTCCATTTTGCATATTAATTCACTACTCAATTAATTAAATAAATAAAAAGTATATCAACAAACAATATTAACAGAAAAAAGCCAATATTTAATTGAATTGCAATAAGGGAAAAAGAAACAAGAATCGAAGGAATACAGGGACGAATGCGAGGGAAGGAGTGGGAGTGGCGAAGAACGGGCCAGAAGTAGAAGCAATTGATGGCCCAGAGGAGAGGAAGAAGAGCGAAGCCGAACTTGTAGAATCTGCGAGCGTAGCCCACTGAGTCTTCCTCGGAAAGCCCAAGAGGCCCATCGATCGTTGGCCACACCGGCACCGATGACGACAGCAAATTCAGATTAGGGTTAGGGTTGGGATTGTTTCTATGTGACTCTGATGATGCCTCCATCTATGCGATCTGCCTCTCGGATCAATGCTTCTACGCCAATTTAACTAACCATCAGCGTAAAAATGTAAACAAAATGAAAACTTGTCAATTCCGATTCATGTATCGTCACTATACTACTTCAATCTTCTTGTTAAAATTAATTTTAAAATAATTATTTCATGAGAAGTTAAAATAACAGAAGTATAGTAATTTATTTCTACCTTTGATGAGAAGTTATTTTTAATAACGAAAAAAATTGGCACTATAATTATCTATTAAAATAAAAAGTATCTTTTATAATTGTATTCAAATAAAAAACTGCTTCTATTTTTTATAATTTTTTTAAAATTAAATCACTAAACATGATGATTAAATTTACGACACAAGACTTCCTAAAAAATAATTTATTAAGTAAAGTTGATAAAATTAGTCTGTTTGACTAAGTCAGTCCAAATTTGTTCAATAAAATATAAGACTTGAGGTTTAAAATTTAAGTTTGAATTCAATTTAATTTGTTTTCTCATTCTAATTAAATTTGATGCAAGCTAAACCTGCAAAAATAAAAATTGCTACCACTTTTGCATACTCAGGTTGAATCTGAATTTTTTGTCCTCTCTATTAAAGCCCACCAATTATAATGAACTAACTTAAACACAAATAACTCAGTTTTTGCTAACTTTACATGTAATTAATGCATTTATCCAAATACTACCTTAATCACTGTATGAATATATAAGTTGTGATAATAATTTGATGATTTTTTTAAAGATAATAATACAGAAAATAAACAAATATTTCAAAGATTAATTTAGAAATCAAAATTTTTGAAACACTAATGTAATGACACATCTAATTATAAAAAATAAAATTGATTTATTTTTATAATTTTAAAATAATAATAAAGATATTGAAAAACTATACTAAAACTTTCTATTTATACTCTCATTCTTCTAACAGAAACAATAGAGTAATTGGCTAATTGAATACATTAAATTGATGAGAAGTAAAATCTAAAGTACTTCTTGTCATTGAGAGAGTTTAATACTCTCTCACACACATAAAATAATTTTAACTATTAATTTTATTTTAATAAATAATAGAGTTAATAGTTTAGTTAAAAAAAATGTTAATGCTCTTATTTTTAAAAGATTAGAAAATTCTAATTATTAATCTAAAGAAAGTGTAAAATACCTTCTCAAGTTATATAAACACCACAAAAGACACTTCAATGAAAATTAAAATGACTATAAAGATCCTTCGTCAGGTTAGTGCTCGAACGATCCTTAGCTATGTAATAATCCAAGCCCTTTGAATGCCACAAGTCATGTTGACAACTTTACGTATCAAACTAAATACCTCAATATAGCAAGAAAATAAAATAGAAGCTGATGCTTGATACAACGAGACTACGACACACGATCCAAATATACAATGAACAAAAATGATTTCTTATGATGTAGAAAAGTAAGAAAAAGAAGACAAAGTATGACACTTGCCCAAAATGCAAGATCAACTTTTTTTCTTCATTTCAATGATAATTTTCATATTCAACAAATCGTAACGTGATGATACACGATAATAATGAAGTCACATGATACAAAATCCATCTGAAGAAGTTAGTGTCAATTTTTGCTCCCAATATGATCCAATGCATCCAAGCAGCACTTCCTCAAAAGATCCAAATGAACTTGGACCAAAAACTGTCCCTTAAGAGAAGGAATCATGAACCATGCTTCACCCATATTGGATATATAAAGGGTGAGAGTGTAACTTTAGATGATGCCAACTCTTGACAACACCTCACAGGACTGAATTTCCAATTTAACCCAAAAATCAAATTCCAAAGATGGGAAGAATTCCTTTTAGTGCAAACTTTAATTGTCGTGTAAAAATATAAGCGTTTACTGCTCTTCAGGACTGAGATCTCTCCCGGATTTTGGCTCTAGCAAAAAACACCCCAGCCAGAAGACCTACAATTGCATTTCTACCTTCAGTGATGAAACTATATGTACTACAAACTAGTGCTAATGCACTCTATAATAATGACAATAATAATTATACTATTATCACTTTCAGTTCAGTAAAGAACTAACCAAAGAAAATGCTAGCAGAGTTCTCCAAACTAGTAGGAACTTTAAAGAGAAAGATGCCGGCAATAGAAAGTGGTATCTTATTCAGTGAACCTACAAGACTGCAGATGGCAAACTAGTTAGATATGTCTAAAATAATTAAGTGGCATTTTTCTGATAAAGCATGGCATTTTTACGTAGAATCTAGATTTAATAAACTACTGTTCCAAGTTCCAATGATAATCCATAACTGAGGAATAACCAAGGTGAATGCATTATTAAGTAGTCATCACATAAAAACAGGCACAAGACTTGTTTGCTTCAAATTAGACCCTAGCTAGACCTGTAAAGATGCTAATCTAAGCCTCATGCACACAGCTATTGCCAATAACATGTTATATGTTAAACTTATAAACTACCTGAGACACTCATCGTAAATGAAGAAGTGGAATTGGTACTTCTGATCTCACCTGTATGTTGTAGCCCCTGTCTGATGAAGAAACCACATGGATGTGAAGCTGATCGCTAGACCCAAAAATCCACTAAAGGTCATCACCAACCAAAAGTCAGGCAATCTCAAAAGTGGCCTGTAAATTAAAATATCATAATATAATTAAATAAGATAAGAAAGAGAAAAACATAATGAGTAGCCTTATACTTCTGTCATCAACATAACCTAAACAATTGTGACATAAAAACACCTGTCTTGAGATTCCAAATCTATGTATTTGTATAACCAAAAACAAAACCAAAGCAAAAAGTAAACTTGGGATGCCAAGCACATAATTTGAAGTCATTCACAAAATGTGGGGAAAAACTCACGTTCTTAATAGATAATCCATCTCGTTGAAAACAATAATCAGGAAAATTCCCAAAGGCAAAGAAAGAGTGTTGTTCAGCAAGACCATTGAAAACTCATTCAAGTTTCCAGATTTTGTAACTTGCTTTGCCGTATCCATGACCCTTCGGAGGGTCAGCTGCAGCAAGAAAATAAAAACGACGCATTAATCAGCAAACTTGACTAAAAGCTAAAATCAGTGTTATCTACATACACACATTATAACATAGTATATTATCCTTTTGAAACAAAACCAATCTAAACCTCCTCTGTGTAAAAGTGTATAAGTAATTGAATGCTATGTTAGAGATATCAGGAAATTAGAAAATTACTCAGTTAGGAATTAGTTACAGTTAGTTAGAAATACCTTTCCAATATAAACCATTAGATAAACACATTTGTAATTACTTCATCTTCTATCAATAATATACTTCGCTTGTTTTTCTCTCAACTTCTCTCAGGCTCTACCATATTTTTCAACACTAAGAATCTAGATTCTAGAAACCCCTCCAAAGCAAGTAACATGTCAAACTGAAATGCATTGAACCTGTTCTCACCGGGAATAGAAGAATAAAATATTTATGCTGGAAAGATTGACTGGATAAACTGATCAATTCCCCTCACCCATGATAAATTATATCAATTCATCTAATTTTTTCATTTAATTTTACTTTATCACTCAACCAAGTCTAAGTAATTCAGTCCTTATCCCTGAGAGAGATAGAGAGCCCTAGGGACTAGGGATATTCTATAGCCATAATAACTACACAAGGAGATAATATCTATGGCATATGTTCAGATCATAGTTGAAACAACCAGAAGTGTTAAATTAGAATGAAAGAGTAAAACATAAGAACATCACAATGATCATAAAAAACAGTAACAGATTTTGGCAAGACAAAAACATGATTGAATTTATGAGTCCACAATGATACTGGATTAATATCAAATTATCAAAATTGATGCCCAATTCTCAAATCAAGGACTAGAAATTACACACGCAGAAGAGAATTGCAAACAGAATAAAATTTATCGTGAAGTTACATCTTGCAGTTTTCTGTGGAAATTTCATTTGAAAACATTCAGGCAGTAATGGAAAGGCAAGCAAAGTGGAATTGAAATAGAATGAAACTAATTATGATGATGATGAAGCTTAATATCACAACAAATCAATACTCACAGAATATGATGCAGTTAAGAAACAGTTTAGTGTCTGCCAAGCATAGCCAATTGCATTAAAAGAGAGATCAGTAAGCCCTCCAGTTATAGCTGAAATGATCTGAAAGGGAAAAGGAAAACTTTCTCAGGATATCTTGTACAAAAGCTTGTTATGTTTTGTAAAGCAAAGATCCAAATGATGCACAGTTTCAAGACAATCTTAACAGTAAACAGCTTCATGACCCCAACAAAATGAAAGACATTTATGGGAAGGGTGAATCAAAACAGACAAGCCATCAAGTAACAAATGCATAGCTAACCACAGGATAAAGCCCAGCAAAGTAACCCTCAATGACAGTCCAGCAACTACATTACATCAAATTGAACAAACAAATATTAGATAAGCTTGTTCCCATCCTAAAACACCAATCCCACTCTAGACATCATTTATGTTCCCTTAAAAGTTGAACCCAACAAGAACTAACAAGCAACATGAACAATTTTGGTATGATAAGACAAATAAAATCTTTCTGATTGTGATTTGTTACTACATCCTCCAACAACTATAATAAAGCAATACATTGTTTAGAGTAATGGTTGCAGGAGTTGTAAGAAACAAACCAGAATTGGAAAAGGTATAATATGTGATTTCATTATTCTACATCACAGTCAGGGTCTTAAACAGCCTAAAATCCTGATATTGCAAGATTCATATGTCATGCCCTTCAACGTACCATAAGAAACAGAGCAGCCCAGACTCGGCCATCGTGGTGCTTACTGAACAAGTACATTTCACCAAGGGCAGTTATGACATTAGTAACATTCTTCAGGACTGTCACCATGGCTACATTAATGTATTTCAAACTGCACATAATACATATTGATAAGCAAAACAATGCAAGTAAGCAAGAGAGAGCAACAAACTGCTCCATTTTAATTTCAGACCATAAGTTGACACTGGCATAAATAATAAATATCAAGATCACACGTTTGATAAAAAAGTTAGCACAAGTTTAGAACTTCAATGCTTCCCAAATAAGAACAATTCTACCCTAAATATCAGCATGATGTTTCCATTTCAATTACATCAGATCATTTATATAAATGGAATCTGTCTGAGCATATTCTGCAAAATATAAATATACATACGCGTGCGTGTGTATGTTTAAAAAATTCAATGTAGTTTCATACCTAGCATTAGACAATAATAATTAGAAAAGGTACACACAAAAGGAGATTAGATTTAAAGATCTGGAAGCACATGAAACATGGAATGGAAGAACATCAGTAATGAAGTATCTTCCACCATCACCCCCTTTGGGAAGATGATCAAAGAAAGAATGAGATTATAATAATAGTCACAAAGTTGAAGACTTGCATACCTAAACATGCTAGTAACGAGCATTCCAACAAATATAACATTCACAGGCATCCAGACTTTAATCAATCTCCATGTCAGTGGTTCAGTTGAAACCAAACCCAGAAGGCTCAACATGGAAACAATAACAACTGAAATGAAATTCTGCATCCACACAAGTGTCAGAATCCAGCTCAAGAAACCTATACAAGACCAAAAAAAAGGGGCAAAAAAAAAAGGGGAGTTCTAAGGACATAAAATAAAATACCTGGTACAACATCAAGGATATGCCAGCATTAAAATCATAGCTGGAAAGTACAAACTTGTTAACCAATATCATGCCACATGAAGAAAGGCAATAAGCAAGTCCAGACAACAAGGCTTGATTGTGGACTTTAACTACTTTCTCTTTATTCTTCTCCAACTTGGCATTTTCCACGTCAAGTTCTTCATTGGTAGAAGGATTCATTTTTCTGTGATCCAGTTATCGCTTCAAGGAAAATCAGCTAAGAGCAAAGAAAAGAACTTTCTTGCAGTGATGAAGAGCGAAAAAACCCACAGTTTCAAAGCGTTGAAACTATGAAGCTCAGGATCGACAAGTACAATGAAACCAAAAAGGAATAACCTTTTGGACAAACTCAGATGTATTTATGATCGACGAGAAGAACCCATCAAGGAATCGTTCTATTACAGAGAATTAGATGAAAAAAATGAATAATAAAATTCAGGGCATAAATGAACCCGTAAACGTTGATGTACGGAAGGAAAGAAGAAAAGGAGTTGGGAATTTTCGTAGCGTTTGAAGAAGGAAGCTACCAACTTTTGTGGATTTTTTGTCCTTTTACAATTCTCATGATCCCATGTTGGTTGGGTTCAGGATAGCTTTGAATTACATACTCAAAAGTCATAAAATAAGCGTGTTTTTTGCTTTTTAATTTTGAATCAATGAGTTCACAGCAATAACATATGCCCCTGTGAAATGTGATTTCAGTTTATTTCTTTCCCAATTTCACGGCTGTTACTGCTACCATTAACGCCAAAGCAAATATCCTAAGTATAAATATGATAAGCTTAGGATAATGATTATCATTTAAAGAAAAGAGAGAAATGTTAATTGTACAAAAAATGTGTATATCTTTTTTTGTGAGTGAGGGAGCTGGCAGGCCCAAAAATCAAAAATCACATAATTCTCATCAAGTTAACGACTAACAAATTGTAAATGAAAATAAGAGGCGAATCATAAATTATTATATATTTTTTTAAGAGATGATGTTTAATAAAAAAAAATATGTATATAATTTTATATATTAGTGAGAAAAATGAAGAGAAAGGAGTAATAGGATAGATAATGTAATATAAAAAAATATTGTAGTGCAAATTTATAATAAAAATATTATAATTCTTTAAAGAAATCTGGGTCATGCCCAGGTTAGAAAAAAAATAAAAACAATAATAATAATGCTTTTAACTTTGGATTTTGAGATTGGATAGTAAATGAGTAATATGTTTTTATAAAATATTTTAATTGCTTAAAAAACAAATATTAAATTCTTTAAAGATTTTTAACATAACAAATGCTTATCTTACAGAAAACGTTTGATTGGTTTTTGTAATATAGGAAATAATTTTATTTTTACTATATATTTTTCATTTTGTTCCACTATTATCATTTTCTTTTTAAACTTTAAAATAAAAACAAAATCATTTTTTCAGGGATAACTTATTTTATGTATATATTGTAAATTTCTGCACATCCCTTTCATGATTCTTTTCTTAGGTAGATCATAATTTCAGAAAATAAGAATGATAATTTTAGTATCATTTATAACATTACGATTCATACATAAATGTTTTACTTATTTATTTTTTTGCAATTTACATTTAACATGAATAATATTAGCACTAAAAAATTTCAATGATAAACAAAATAATCTGATGTTAAATTAAATTATGAAAAATCAATATAGCTTTTTAATATTTTCTTAAAGAAAATCATTTAGTTTTTACATATTTTTAAATCATACACAATACGAAGTTGTAAATCACACAAGCCGCAACACTAACCGCGACACAAATCATCGGAGAAAAAGCGGTTTGTTTTAAATTCACTAATGATCATATCAGAAAATTAGGGGACTTATGTAGTTGTTGACCTACAGCATTTATGATAAGGTTAGTTATGTACCAATTACAATGAGATGTGCCGAAAAAAAGGGATTGCAAAGGTTAGAAGCCACTTTAGATTTGAGGATTGTACGAGGATGTTTGAGCCCAAAAAAGACATCCAAAGGGTTTATTGAAAATCAGAGATATCAGCAAGTATCCACTAAACGCAAACAATGAAATTTTCAAATGCTTTTATTTTAGTGGACTTTTCCTAATATTTCAGTTACTCTTCAACTAAAAAAATTATAATTCGTCAGCATAGTTTAGACATAACTACTTGATATTGACATGGCCTTTTCAATAGTAGTAGCCGGCAGATGGGACTTGGAGCACCATAATATATTCCATTCTAATAAAATAATGACCCACTTGTCTGCAGCTTAGTCCAAGCGAAAATGCTTTAGGGATTGGCAGAATCATCAAATTATAAAATCTCAACATTTGTTAACTTAAAGGCCCCAATCATCAACTAATGAAAGTCAAGATAATAGAACCATTTTGAAATCATCCCTTTTTTCCATTTTTTAGAGAAAAAAAGAAAAACTTTCCCGAAGGTAAGTTTCAACGGATATCCATCAATTGACAGGAGGTAATTGACCCGTTTCAAAAGCAACAAAAGTAAACAAATTCAGATTTGCTACAGTTAGGAACCCATGTAGTAACAGCAATCAGCAAATGTGTTGTTTGATCTTCGTCTGAGTACTTTTTACATATCAATACTCATTTATGTATGGTTATTTTTTAAAAGCTTAAAAGTAAAGAGAAAATTAACAAATAAGAAAATGTAACTGAAAAGAAGTATGTAACTATAGGAGTACCTAAAATTTACTCTAGATGTAGGAATTTGGACCAGATAAGGGGGACAAAATTTTGTATTATTAATAATTACTCTCATAATTTGAGATTTTTTAAAAGGAAAAAAGAAATGAGATACTATTATGTAACCTTTCAATCATATAAGTATAGTTTTCAATGCCTAACGGGAAACCAATTTCAGAAATGAAAAATACTTAAGAATTAATCTGCTTAATATAGGCAGATTGCCTGGCTTCAATAAAACTCCTAATGGTAGAGGCATCTCCATGCATGACAACTTTCCCATCCTCCATGTAGATGGCACCATCTGCATATTCTAGTTCTTCCAGACGATGTGTGACCCATAATGCTGTAACTTCTGCAGAGGTATCCAGAGAGTTCCTAACAGCTTTGATAACCCCAACCTTAAATGAAACAAGTGAACCAAGAACCATCTATCAGAAAGGGTTGATCTCACACCAGAACTTTCACATTTACTACTATGAAAAGGTTCAATCGTAGGCATGAAAAACAAAGCCGTGAAAAGCATGTTTAGAATTTGATGGCCCACATATTCAGATGTAAGAAAGCTAAAATACACAGACCCACTGGCATTGTTCTCTATCTGAATGCATATGTCAGATGCAGATAAAAGGCATAAAAAATGAAAACGATGTGAAGAATGAAGGAAGAGAGATAGTTGCTAGTATTTTGTAGATGGTAAAAGTTCCGTGTTTCCACCCAAGATCTCAGTCTCATTAGTTTTCAACAAATAGGACTTGAAAAAGCTTATAACATCAAAATCCAAGGATTACCTGGTCAGTTTCATCTAAGAATGTTGTGAGCTCATCCAGCAACAGAACTTTACAAGCTTCAGCAAGAGCACCAGCAATTGCAACCCTTTGCTTCTGACCACCACTCAGAGTTTGGACAGATCTCTGAATAAAACAAAGAGAAAGTTCGTTTATTATATAATGCACACATTTGTTTTAGTGTTCCAAGGTTGTCGTCCCGTCCTAATACCTTCATGTAGTCAGACAGGCCTACAGCATGTAATGCTTTTGACACCCTAGATCTGACTTCATCATGGGTCAAATTGATCTTACCAAGACCAAATGCAACGTCTGCATCTACAGTAGGCATTACCACCTGCAATAAATGTAATCCTTCACACTTGAAAGACTGATCATATACATCATGTGCTCAAGGTGTAAAATTCTCAGTGAATCTTTTCCTGTGATTAGATTGATAACAAAATCAAGTTTTTCACTTTCATATTTTGTGAAAGTATATTTTTTTTTGTAGTGATATTAGTATTTGAACTGCAAACGTTGAGATAATATTCAAATGAAATTAGATTGAAGAATTTTTATCAAAACAAACATAATCAAGTCATTTAAATTCATAAGATAGCATGATGCCAATAAAACTCCACTTATTGATTAGAGAATAGAGAATAAAGGAATCATTGAAATTCGTACATGCTCTAAACAAAACAGTCTGTCTTCTGACTCTTCTCTGTTTTCCCTTTTCATTACTTTTAATTCTGGAACTTGGAAAGAAGAGATTATAGGTAAGGTAGAGTATACTTCTATGTTGCCTGTGCTTAAGAATCCACAAAAATTAAACATCCAGTCTGATGTGTTGGTGTTCAACAAAAAAGAAAAAAAAAAAAAAACACCCCAATAAATCTTCCTTGTATTGATACTTAAATACCAATTTGTTGAGCTAACATCAGTAACTGTTGCCTAAATATTTTTTAAAACTGTCTATTCTACAAAACCTAAACAACATTGTTAACTATAGAACTGTAATTTGTTACCATTTGAGATGCAAAGGTAAAAAGAAGGCAGGACAGTTGCAATGAGAGTAAGAACTATAGAAACAATGACAATCAATGGCAATATTTTATTGAAAAAGTCAAATAAGACGGGGAAAGGTTGGACAATGCCTCAAAATTTGCAAGAAAATTTGAGTCTGAGAGCAGCCTAACTGCAGTCTTATTCTTCGATCAGAAAGTTCTATCTCATTTTTTGTCAAATAACTACATTTTAGCAGCGTATTACAAATCTAATCAACAGAGAGCATAGCAATGGTAGCAAGATAACCGAACTCCTGAAATTAGTAACGTCAACCTGGCTCACAATTTGATGAGGTTCCCATCTCTGAATTTGGATTTTGTTAACAAATTTTAGCTCATATTTCCATTCCAATGGAAAACAAGTCCAGTGATTTTCCTTTTCAAATATATACCAAAAGGATAAAAATCTAAAATATCTAACCACCCTTTTCTTAATGCTCAAAAACCCAACACACACACACTTCAAAAGAATGATAACAATGAACCACGTAGCACAAAATACAATAACATTGAGACAAAGAAAGAACCTGATGATCTGGATTTTGGAAAACAAAACTTTTAGGCTCATTCACATACACTGTTCCTGAAGTTGGGTTCAACAGACCAGCCAAAACCTGCACGCCAACTCTGGATTACATTACAATATGTACTACACTACAAAACAAGAACTCTTACTTGTAATAGAATAGTACCTTCAATAGAGTAGATTTTCCACAGCCATTGGGTCCAAGAAGCATCCAAAACTGCCCACAAGGAATGCGAATTGAACAATCCCTCAGAACTGGCACATCCTGTGTTCCCCTCGTCGTGAATGAGAAATTCAGATTACGCCCTTCAATTGCAAAATTTTCCGCAATATTGCTCCTGAAAAACTCAAACAATAATTAAAAAAAAAAAATATGGGGCATGGTTTCAACCAAAACCGTTTGAGAAAATGCCCAACTGAAAAGTAAAAGAAAAAGAAAGCACAGAAACTAGTTGTACCTTGTAGTAGTGGGAACTGTGGCACAAAGTGGAGCAACAAGACGCTCGGGGAAGCGAGTGAGATAAGAGAGATTCATAGCATTTCCTCTTCTCTCTCTTTAATATTTCTTTTTTTAACGTTGAAGTGAAATTCCTAAGTTGTTCGAAACTTTTCATGAACGACGCGAGTCCTCTTCCTCATGACGTGGCACGTTCTGATTAGTTAAGCTTTATGTTCCAAATGAATGTGTCATTGCCCGGAACCGGATTTGCTGCTGTTGAACAAAGATACAGTTGGTGCAGTTGTAAAAATATTAGGCAACACAAGTATAGCAATAGAAAATCAAACTTTTATCTACAGAATACCATATTTAAATTTTTTAATCCATACCAAATATAAAAGAAAAATTAGAAGTATAAAATTTTAAATATTTAAATCAAAGAATATATATTTCTTCTAATATAATATATATTTCTTTTTATGGGTCAAAATTTCTATAATTTTTTAAAAATTTTAGTTTAAGTGTATTAAAATGTGTCATTCTTAATTTTGTAGCATGTAGAAGTAGTAACACGGTCCATAATGAAACGTTAGATGCATCAAATGGTCCATATTTTGTTTACTGCACCAAGTGTACTTCAATTCAACTGCAGCAAATCCTGGTCCGCACATCCCTTCTTCCTCTTATCTATCTATAGTGTACGTAAAGTGTAATGGGAGACACGTGGCATTGTGTTTCTCTTCATGGCGTTCACTGTGAGAATTTGCTACACTTCCTTCCCTTGCGTTCCTCGCATCCCACAAACTTCGAGAAGAAAAAATGTCCATTTTTCAATGATTCGTGCGGTTCAAAGTGGTGAAGCAGACACCCCAGAGAGTAAGAGTGAAGGGTCATCTAAGGCTCAGTCTTCAAGCGCTGCTCCTAAGACTCCCAAGAAACCTGTGTATTCCAGTGAGTCAAGCAATCATTGAGCTAATGTTTCTTTTTATTTGAGAGACTATAAGGCCTCTTTGATCATTGTTTGTGGTTTTTGCTTATGGGCAGTGAAGAAAGGTCAGATTGTGAGGGTGGACAAGGAGAAATATCTCAATAGCATCAATGTGAGAACGATTACAATGATTCACATGTTTCTTTGTTTTTGTTTAGTTTAAGTGTTATGACGTGTCCCAGTTTAATGTTTCAGTATCTTTCTGTTGGGCACCCACCTTATTACAAAGGATTAGACTACATTTATGAAGACCGTGGGGAGGTAAATAGCAAATAAGTAGAACTAGCTTGCATGACACAGCTCTGTTCTGGGTCATCACAGTTATCTAACTGAAAGTGTGAAACTCTTCTAGGTCCTGGATATGCGTATATTTGAAACAGGAGAGCATGCGCTTGTAAGTAACTTGCATATATCCTTATCCTTCTTTCATATGATACGGAATATCTAATCAAAATAGGAAGTCTGATCAATGTTCTGATAAAATCAAAACTATATCTATTACAATGCCAATGATGTTCGGTAGATCGAGCAAAGCAAAATTCCAATTATGGAAATTAAAATAGTGATGTGCTACAAATTTAATGTTTTATACTAACCAAAATTCCGGTTTTATAGGTTGCATGGGTAGGGATCCCCACCGCCCCAGCTTGGCTTCCTACTTACATGCTTATCAAGGTACAGTTTTTCTTGTTCCAAAGCTGCTAAAATTTATTATTACTTAGCTTCAGAAAGGATCTGCTTAATCAAAAGCCTAATCAAGCTGAACAGTATTTGGCCAAGAGCAACCTGTTTAATTGAGTTGATTCCTTTTCATTATAGCTGCTTTTTGAAGTGACAAAGATACCTCATTCATTCTTTTTTACTCTTGCAGTCAGAGAAGCTCAATTATGAGAGGCTATGACCCACAGCTGGGGCGCAGAATTTAGACACTACGTTGTTTTTTTTATGTTGTAAGAGAGTATAATTCAGGAAGCTTGGTTTGAAACACCGTCTGAGACTATCCCATCCTATGTGTTGTGCTACGTGAGAACTTTGAAGTTTTTGGTGATGATTATATGTGCTTCACTATTCTAAATAAATATATTTATTTAAACCACTAATACACAGCAAGAGCAATCATCCGCAAATCGATAAGATATGATAATCAATTTGCAAATACACTTCATTTGCACATATAAGCATAATGAAGCAATAAACAAATATGTTTATGTTGGTATCGATGACAGCAATACAATGTATTCCCCTGTTAGAAAAGTATAATGAATCCCTTCACTAAAATTGCATAATTGAGGCATCTGGGCAAGAAAGCAGTGATACTACGATACAGAGTATTGCAGCTAAGCACCACTTCTATGACCATAAAAGCTTCTTGCTTGACTTCTGCTGCTCCTTGTCAGACCTCAACCTTGCAATTATATGTAAAACTTTAGAATCTATTATTTGAATTTCCATAATACTGTCACGTATATGAGCTCCTCCATGTGAAGCATCCTTTGATGAACCTCTTGTTCAAAGGAAAAAAAAAAAAAAACAACTGTATGGTAGCAGATTGACAACACTTCTACAGTCCTGCTAATTCTTCGCTCCACCTTGCTGCTTCTTGTCAGGTACTCTTGTAACATACGTGGTGGTTTGAAAAAGAGGAAGGCATAACAAATTCTTGTAAAATCTTGAGAATTATACATGCATGAGCATCTCCAGCAAGACAAGTGAAGAAAAGAAAGATTAATAATCAATTCCCCTCTTGACACGTTTAATGGACTTCATAAGACCTGCTAAGGAGGGAAGAGGTTGAGGCACAGAAACATTCCTTGACCTGTACAACTTTATGACACTTCCACTCAAGCCCGAAGATCCAATATTTAGATAAGAGGTACTCATATTAACTCTCGTTCCTTCCTGAACCTCGGATTGGTGATGCTTCTCCACTGGATGTAAATCATTATTTCTTTCCGGTGATCCCTCCTTCACTTCAACATCATCCATATCGTTCAAGAATTCTTGTCGGGTATCACTTGAAACTTTTTGAGAAAGAACATTAACAGGCAACATATCAGATCCTCCTCGTGAAACGCCAACATCTTGGAGACTGAGCCTCGCTCTTCCAAAAGTTGTGATAGGCAAGCTTTTGCCATGAAGAGACAATTCTTCCGGTACTTTAGCGTCAACGCACTGTTTGATTGGTGATTTAGTTTGCGTAAAAGGCTGAGGGGTCCCTTCAAGTACAGGATAACATCTTGCAGAATTGACCAATGTATCAGCACCATCAGAAGTTTCCACAATCATATCCAGAAGCTTGCGCACAGAGTTGTTGAGAGCTCCTTTAGAGTTAAAACAATGTTTCTTAACATAATCCAGCTCCATAGCCCTGCAGCTGGGAGTTGTTGAAACAACCCACCTAGGTGCAAGAAGTTGAAGTGCCCATTCTAATTCTTCCTTGGATGAGTGCATTGAGTAACAGACATGCCATACGCCAAACTGATCCTTAACTGCTTCATTCATCCTCTTTTTTCTAGTGTTTTCAATTTCTGAGAACTCTTCTTCACAAACATACCACTGGGCAGAAGGCCGGATAATGAGAGGCAAAGGTTGGAGAGTTGCCTTGGCCTCGACCATCTTTGCTTTTGCTCTTTCATATAGTCTTGGAGATCCATCAAACAAATGGAAACGAGAAGATGGATCTTCACAAAGGATTTCAGGCACATTAAGACATAGATTCTTGAGACAATCCGGATTTTTCGCTCTATCAACGTATATTTTATCTCCAAATGTCTGGGACACATTAACAAGGATCTCTTCTTGACCAAGCATGTCGCAGGTTAGATACACCGTCGGTGCATCAGGATGCTTCCATATACAATTAATAACCTGTTTTGAAGTTCAATAAGCTGAATTTGAGATGGAATTATTGTTATTCATAATGAAATAATGACACTGCAGAATGATGGGTTCAATTTGAAAAAACAAAAAAACCCAGTAATATGCACCCACTAATGCATAAAAAATTAGGAACTGCTACAGGAAAAAGTATAAATATACTACGCTAAAATTAAAGGGGTTTCATTTAGGCAATTAGCAGAGTGAGAAGGGTACATGTTGAATAGCGGAATGCTTGGTAGGCATCCCCTGAGAGAAATTGGCAAAAGTACAGTCTAAGAAAACACAATCAAGAGGGAAGCGAGGCTCTCTTCCTTTCCTCCCAACATATTTATCAGGTAAATTCAGCAGACACTCTGGGGTGAGTCTGCAATCTCCGGTGTGCAGAATGTTACCAAATATCCCTTCAAACAAGAACATCACAGCCCCTGAACAATGAATTCGAAACGAAATAAAGCAAATGAATCTTTTGATGAATAAGATAGAATATGTTGATAAAGATGGATAAAAAAGAGAATTAAATTAAAAGTAATGAAAAAACCAGGGCAGTGATTGGCGTCGAAAGCGGTGACAGTGAAGGCACCGGCGGGATCATGGATGGTAAGGGATTGGCCAACCTCAATAGGGAGAAAGAAGGAAGAGAGAAGGTGAGGGTAATGTTGAAGAATGAGGGTTTTGGTGAGAAGGGTGGAGTAAATAGGGAAGGAAGCATGGGAAGTGATGGAAGAGGAATGGTCTTTGTGGGCGTGAGTGAGGAAATGGTGTCTCTTACTGCTCTTCGATGATGGGCTCCACGTGTCCACCGAGAAAGGTAATCCCTTCGGCATTTCGATGGGCATCTTCTCTTTACAGTGTCATGTGGAGGAGAGGCTTTTTCTCTCGTAAATCACCACCCTTCCCGCCCAATGTTCCCTGTAAATATTTTTAGATTTGTAATTGGAAGTTTCAAAAATAAGTTTCAAATTTTTTATCATTTATTACATATACAATTTATTTTATAATTTACTATAATTTTTGTAATATTTTAATTAATAATAAAATAATTTCTTTATAAACTTAATACAAAATTATTTTAAAGCCATCAATTAACTCGAATAAATCTTTAAATTTATCTTTAAAATAGTAAGCATTTAGGTAAATTGATCTAATTTGTTAATCATTGGCTTTGTTGACATAATAAACACTTTAATTCATTTAGCAACTTCTACGGTGTCAACTTTTTTTCAATTGTTGTTGTCATTTTTTACAAATTCTTTTTTCTTCAACGTATTCAGCGGCCACTAACATCTCCTACTCTCCCTCTTCTACCAGCCTTACCTCTTAACATTATTACCTACTTCAAAGCTTCAACCATGTCCTAAACCTTCACCTATTCTTCTACCACCACCCTAATCACTGCTTCCTCCACGGGCAATACCACCATTTGCCCTAAACCCCCATTATGTCCTGAACCTTTTATGCTCTCTCCTTCCTAGCACTAAAACCTCATTCTTCATTGCACAAGCCTTTGGTATGTCTTTTAAGCTCCCAACAAAGGGATCATTGATGTTACACAAGGCAGAGAGGTCAATGTTGATGTCATATTTGTTAACAATTTTCAGTCTTGTGTAGCACTCATTCGAATGCACCTTCACTTTAGGTTTCTTCTATTTCTTCCTCTTCTACCTATTGCCAAATCTCACAATGTCAAGTTCCAATCTTTGTTGAGGAACACAAAGCTCCACTTGATTGAACTTAGGGTCCTCCCTATTGAGTTGTTTCGAGTAATTAATAATAATGCTTTTTTTCTTTTACATTTATAAGATTATGAGCAGGAATGGGCAGGGGCTTGATGGTCCCAGTCAGAGCTTAAAGGTAACAATGGTTACTTTATAGAAGAAAAATGTTTATTTTATTCATCAGACGTTTAAGTCTATAAATACACCAAAGGAAATAATTGAACATCTAGTGATCCTACAAATAAGGAAATAAGGCGTAGAGGGAAATCAGTTTCCAATAAACAAGGTAAGACTGATTCTTCCTCTTTTATTGAAAGTAATGAAATGCCGAAATCCTTGCATCTCCCTTTGACCCAGCTAATTTCGGTTTAGTTAAGGTATCTTGGGTTGGATTTTTTGAATCGAACAGGTTGGTCTGCATCAATACTCCCTCCGTCGGTAGGAACCTTGTCCTCAAGGTTCAGGCAAGGAAAATCGAAACACAATTGCTCTTCATCTTCATGTTGCTTCCTCGGCAGAGAGGTCCTTCCATTGCATCAATAGTTCTGACTTAAACTTAGAACCCAACTTTATCCATCGTGTTTCCAGCACTTTCTCCGGCTCTAACTGCAGACTTACATTTTTCCGTAGAGGTGGAAGTTTCCCTTTGATTATTGTATCTGCCCCTATTCTTTTTTCCAATATAGAGGCATGGAAAACAGGATGAATCTGCGTCTAACTTTAGCTTATAAGCCACTTGTTCAATGCGTTCTTTCACTTGAAATAGACCAAAAATTTGTTTGATAGCTTCTATGATGTCCAACGGAAGACTAATTGTTGTCGATAAGGGTGTAGGCGAAGAAAGACCCAATCGCCAATGTTGAAGTTGACGTCTCGTCGCTTGAAATCAGCAAGCTGCTTCATTCGATTGTTTGCTGTCGTTAAATGTTGTTTAAGTTCGCTAAGTAGCTCGTCGTGAGCTGCTAACTACTCATCTAGCTCGTCCACCGTTGTAGAGCCGGTTTCATATGTTGGAATGTGTGGTGGTGTCCACCCGTACAAAGCTTGGAAAGGTGTCATACCGATAGATGAATGAAACATGGTGTTGTACCAGTATTTTGCCTAAGGAAGAAAAGCGTTCCACTGCTTTGGTCGATGATAAACAAAACATCGCAAATATTGTTCAATGCATCGATTAACCACCACTGTTTGGCCATCGATTTGAGGATGGTAGGCAGATGATAATAACAATTTAGTTCGGGACACTCTCCAAAATTGTTGCCAGAAATTATTGACAAACATCGAGTCTCTATCACTTACAATTGATCGCGGTATTCTGTAGAGTTTAACCACATATTGCACAAACTTGGAAGCAACAAGCCTAGCGGAGTAAGGGTGAGTCAATGGAACAAGATGAGCATATTTACTTAACCTGTCAACAACCACCATAATTGATGTATATCTATTTGATCTTGGCAACCCATCTACGAAATCCATGGAGATATCCTCCCATGTTCGACATGGAATAGGTAGTAGTTGGAGCAGTCCTGCCGGTGAGAGAGATTCATACTTCACCTACTGACAAACATTCCAGGCAGCAACATATTCTCGAAGCAAGCGATGTATAGATGGCCAATAAAACTGCTGAGACAGGCGTTTGAGCGTACGTAAGACACTAGAATGTCTTCTTGTCGATGTGTCATGGTACTCCTGTAACAATTGTTTGATTAATAAGGACGTAGGAGGTACAACAACATGATTGTTGTAGCAAATCAGACCCTCCCTCCAAGAATATGGTTTGTCGGGATTTTGCATGGCCAATACGCTAACTTCTGCAGATACGAATCTATTGCAGCCATTGCCTGGAGTTCGTCCCATATCTTTGCCTGTTGAACGAACAACCCTTAAAAACAAGGGATCTCAGGAACTCGGTACAGAGCATCAGCCGCTGAATTAGAAGCTTCAGGCTTGTATACTATTTCATAGTTATAGCCGACTAATTTTTTCACCCACTTTTGTTGTTAAGGTGTTAACACCCGCTGCTCTAGCAAGTATCTTAGACTTTGTTGGTCCGTTTGTATCGTAAAACAGCGACCCAGTAAGTATGGCCTCCAAGTACGAATTGCAACAACAATGGCCAGCATCTCTATTGCATATGTTGACAAATTTTTTTTCATAAAACTCAGTCCTTGACTCATGAAAGCAATAGGTTGTCCTTTTTGGGTTAGAACAGCCTGATGCCTTCACCCGAAGTGTCTGTTTGGATAACAAAAGGTTCGGCGGAGTTGGGTAGGACAAGAGTGGGCGTTGTTGTCATTGCTCTTTTGAGTTTCATGAACGCTACTTCGGCCGTCTCATCCCACAGAAATTTTCCTTTCTTGAGCATATTTGTGAGTGGTCTTGCAATTATCCCATACTCACGTACAAACTTTCAATAGTAGCCGGTTAGGCCCAAAAAACCATGAACCTCTATGACGGTCGTTGGTCTTGGCCAATCCAACATTGCTTGAATTTTTGCGTGATCGACTTTTTCTCCTTCGCTTGAGATGATATGCCCCAAATACTTAAGTTCTGACTATCTGAACGCACATTTTTTGAACTTAACATGTAAGCATGTTGTCGCAGTATGCTGAAAATCTCGTATACATGTTGGAGGTGGTCCTGCCATGAGAGGTTGTAAACTAATATATCATCAAAAAATACAATGACAAACTTACAGAGATGTGGCCGAAAGATTGTATTCATCAATGCTTGAAAAGTCGAAGGAGCGTTGCACAAGCCGAAGGGCATCACCAAATACTCATAGTGTCCGTTGTGGGTGCGGAAAGTAGTCTTGTGCACGTCATGTGGATGAACACGTACTTGATGGTATCTAGCAGTGAGATCGAGTTTGGTGAAGAAGGAGGCATCGTGTAACTCATCAAGCATATCTTCCACCGTTGGTATTGGAAAACGATCCTTGATAGTTACTTCATTAAGTGTTAAATAGTCTGTGTAAAACTACAATGATCCGTCTTTCTTTTTTACAAGCAACATAGGGGACGAGAAGGGACTAGAGCTTGGCTGGATAAACCTAGATTCCAGCATGTTTTGCACTTAACATTCGATCTCTTCCTTTTGAAAATGCGCATATTAATAAGAATAAACATTCACGAGATTGGTTCCTTCTTTCAAAAGGATGCGATGTTCAACCTCCCGCTTCAAAGGTAACTCCCGAGGTTCATCGAAAAGCTTTACAAACTCATCAATCACCTTCCTCATTGTTGCTGGTACTGGTGACAAAGTGGCCTACTCCTTGTTGATGCAGAGGGCGAACAGGGTATGCCCCTATCTTGCTTCTTTAGAGACCTCGTTGGGTTTAGTGGCTGTAATCGGTGCAGCTCCCAATCCGTGCAGTACGCAGTCCATCCCTGCCCATTTGAAAGCCATGGTTTGAGCCTTCCAATCAAACACGGTGGTTCCTAATTCTTCTAACCATTGGATCCCAAGGACAACATCTAATCCCCGCAATGGCAGCACATATAGTGTGATAGGGAAACTGATACCGTGCAGCGAGATTGGTATCGCCTCATAACGTCCTTGGCATTTTAGCGGCGAGCCACTGGCAACACGAACAGTGAATGGTGTGGTAGGGGAAATAATGAGATTCAGTGTCTTTACTGCTCTCTCACTGATGTAATTGTGAGTTGATTTGCTGTCAATAAGGGCCACTAGTCGATGTTTCTCAATCGTTGCCTCTACTTGCATAGTAGGAGGAGTGTCCTACCCAACTAAAGCGTACAAAGAGATCTCTGGTTCCTTAGTCTCATCTTCCCCCGATTCGTTAGACCCCCCTTATTCTCTCTCCATAAGTAGTAATTGCGGTTGTCAGCACTTGTTCCCAGGGGTGTACCGTTCATCACAACTGAAACATAGTCCTAGGCTTCTCTTCTTTTTAATTTCATCCCAACTCAGCTTCTTGGGATTCATACCCGTGTTTCGTGCTTGATAACTATGCAGTACTGGACTGCTAGGTTGATTTTGCCTTTGTTGTTGGAGCAATTCATCTCGCATCTTAGCCAGCATGATGGCTTCCTTGAGTATCTTAGGCCTGAACATTCTGATTTCATCTGCAATGGGTGGTTGGAGACCTTCAATATATGTCTCGACGAGTGCCTTTTGGGTCCAC